GCAATTTTGAGATCCTGAGGGTTGGCTTGGCCCCACAGGACAACACTGCCATCATATCAGCCAACTCCCTCAGCATCCTCAGATGGATTGCGTTGCTGCTATAATATAAAATAAAGAAAATCAAAGCCATAGACTCCAAATAATCAAAGCCCACCTCTACACTTGCAGATAAAGCTGTGATGGGATCTAATGTACAATCCACACTTTTGTGCCTCCTGCCATGTCACGTGCATGACAGGTGGCATGATTGTGGAATCATGCAGTAGATCCAATAGCACCTTATTACTGGTGTAGGGGCACCCTGATCCAGGATTATTCTTGCACCAGCTATGAACAAGCTCCTGTGACTGGGATCCCCCTCAGTTAAGAGGTTCCCAGCTGCAAGCATGCTCCAGGATCATGGCAGCTGTGATCCCTCAGGCTTGGGAGGTTTCATGCAATCCAAGCACAGGACATCATAGCTGCCATGACCCCCCATGCCCAGGAATACTAGACATGGCACAACTAATCCTGGGAGATCATGGCTGCTGTGATCCCCATGGAACAGGGCTTTCATGCATGCCCAAACCTGGGAGATTGTGGCTGCTGTAAACCTCCAGGCCACAGGGGTTTCACAGACTCTCAACCCAAGAGATCACAGCAGCCGCAATCCTCCAGGCCAAAGAAGTTTCATGCACCCCTGATCCTGGGAGATCACAACAGCTGTGATCCTCCAGGCTTAGGGGCTTCACACATCCTTGGGCCAGCCATTCCCATGGGTTGCTGGGACCCCGCTGGGTCCTGGCATGAAGTGTCCACAACTGTAGGGCTCTGGGTCCCAATACTGCCAGAACGCAGACTCAGCAGCTGATGGGGCTAAGCGTGCTCTCATTTGCAAGACTTCTCTGCCCCTGGCTGGCCCTTGCTGCTGGGAACCCTATCACATAGGAGATCCTGCGACATGTGGAAATTAAAGTCTGATAACAACCATCAATAAAGGTAGTACAATTTTTCTAATTTTATAGCTGGTTGCGGTTTTTTATGGCATGATAGCTACTTTGCACATGTAGCTGGTCTTAAGGTAATTGTGCAATTAATTAGTTAATTGCTCAGTACCTGTAACATGTATAGGATGCCAAAATGCTGTATCGTTCCAATTACAGTCACAATTTTTACTGTAGGTTTCATTACAAGAATTTATCTTAGCATTCCTTATGCAGATTTATCTCAAGATGTATAACCCATGCCCGTCACTTATTCCATTGTTAACCCTGAAGCAGCAAGGGAAATGTCAGAGAGGGTGCCTGTACACAAGCATGGAGGCTGCTCCAATGTGCTGTAATTAGAGTATCAGAGCAGACTCCATCAATCCAATCTGCTGGAGCATGGTAATTACCACACTCCAGCAGCCTCCTGTGTCTTATGTATCAGTGTCCTCACACTTCAAAATGGTGGCAGGGGTGCTTGAACTAAAGCTCATCAAATGAGCTTTAGATAAAGCACCCTGGCAACTATTTAGAAGCATGGGGACACTGATGCATGAGACACCATGTCACTTTAATTAGAGAAGCTCTTGGAGCCACTCTAATTAAAGTGCCGTCCCTCCCCCCACCCCAAACTCCCAGACCACATGTAAAAGTTCATGTGAGTACTAGTTAACTGCTTTAGTTGGTCAAGACTTTCTACGTGGAAATGTAAACAGGAAGAAATTGGCCAAACTCAACAAAAGAGGCTCCTGAATTCTTATGGCAAAATGCAATTTTGTATGCGATCGTGCTTACAGTAATAAATAAGAAAAACAAAATGTGAACATCTTCCCTTCCTTCTCATTTGCTGAAGATGTAGCTACAGCCTTTTCAGAGACAAAATAACAAGACAAAGATACTGTTGCCATAACAACCACATTAAATAATACAAAAGAAAAAAACAAAAGTTTTCAAGTGATAAGTTCATTTAAAAATGCCCGCATAAAGAGCACTTGGAAAAAAATAAAAAGAGATATGCTGAAATATGAGGACAAAAACTTCAAGCCAATGTTACTATGGTAACTGTTGTTGAGAGGTATTATTTGCACTGTACATTCTAGAGCAGATAAATTATTTTCATTAATGATAAGGGACATCTTTAGAATCAGTTGGAAGAGTAAGTAAGGTTACAGATTCTCTAGACATATCTATGTCTTTTTATCTGAACAAATATTTTGGTAATAAACAACTATAACATACCATAGAAAATTTGTGAAAAATCATAGATGTGTTTAACACAAAAACTTTATAAGCTTTGTGATTTAATAAGGAAACCAAGAAAATTCAGAAATTCTCTGAATTTAGGTGAAATATGTAGTTGACCCAAGGTTAAGCTATATTCAGTATTTTGGCCACAACTTTTATAGACTTCATAAGTCTTTGTGTGGATTGATGGCAAGGAAGAATCAATAGTGGTATATTGTGATGGGGCAGAAGACAAGAAAGAAGGACCTTACCTGCAGAGTCAGCATGAGGCTGAGAAGCAGTGGCGAAAAGCGGTGCTGGGGGAAGAGACAAGCACCGGGGAAACACCAGTGCCTGAACCCCACACTGGAATTAAAAGGAGAACGACGCAGAGAGACCAGAGGACTGGAAGTGAGGCCTAGAATGCCTAGGAGGGGTGAAAGGCAACCAGCTGGCACCAAACCCACTGAAGTGGTTCGGACGATCCAAATGACATACCCACATCATAGTCCTGGATGTTGGGGATGGGAGATTGGAATTTGTCTGGAGAAGCTGAACCTAGAGAAGAGAAAGAAGAACCATGAGCATAGTGGACCAAAGCGGTCTACAGGGGATGGTTCCTATGGCAAACCCTAAAAAACAAAAGAGGTTTTTGCAGGCCAAAGAACAGGGTGGTCCAACTCCAGGCTAGAGGACTGTAAAGAGGGACTAAGCCCTGGAGTGATATTTCACTTCCATATTGTTTTGTTTTATATCTGTTACTTACCTCAGAAGGCACGATATGAAGGCATAACCTATGTGCCCGTAATATCTTTTGGAGATCTCAAAGGTTGGTATAAGATGGGGTGTAGAGGAGGCAGAGCCCCAGAAGACAGCACCAGGCCTGACTAAGGACAGCATCCATGGAGAATAAGACCTCCTCCCAAAATTACACAAAAAGATCAAGTTGTGGCAGATGAGATTGGTTGCCCTTCTCCCAGCTCCACTTGTAAGACAATAGAAGCAAGCTGTCCACTCATTAAAAAGCTGACACTGTAAAAGGCCCCATGGACACTTTAAGACGTGCCTCATGGGAGAGCCACAGCCACTTCCACATATGTTAGCCCAGGTATTGTATGTCCCTATCATCCCAGATTGATGGTAATTTTCTTAAGGCTATACCATGCAGTTCATTTTCAGACTGAATTCCCCACCTAAATCCTGGGATATCCTTCTGAAAAGGAGATAATGCTGTGGACTTTTGTGTATTCTCAAAGATAAATGCAAAGGTGGAAAACATACTATGCAGCTGTAGTGAATCCAGAAACGGGGCAAGGATGGTGTGGCCCCTCTCTGCACTTTGACTTTGCTCATAGGTGACACATGGGAGGGGCATTGAGACCCCTCCTCAGAGAGCTGATGTCCCCTCAACAGTGAGTACAAGAGTGGCATGTCAGTGGCAAAAGTGTGAACAACAGAAGTGCTGGCACTTCCACCACCGTCTCACATGCAGAAGGACTTGCACTTCTGCCGCCACTGTGCCACCAGCACGCTCAGCAACTGACCACTGGAGGACTCCCCTTCCAGTCACTGTCTGGTCACTGGAGAGCCTCCCTCCACCCCAGATTTGGGAGGCACCAGTCACCCATGGCTTTGCTATGCATGCTTATTGAGCTCTGAGATCATTGACTGTACAGCACAGATTCCTGCTGGTGCTCCATGTAAGCTCTGAGCTTACCTGCTTTCATGGAGCTTTGGAGCCCAGGAAGGTGATGCTATTCACCATTTCCCTTTCCCTCCCCCTGCCTGATGAATTCAGCAGCAGAAGAAAGGAGGGGATGAGCTGTAATGGCAGCACTCAGCCCCTGGGGTCCAGAGCCATGTGAAAACAGGGGCCCCATGCAGACCCCGCATCAAGGGTTCACATGTGGCACAGCCAAGTTGGGTGTAATCGTGTTGCTATACACCTTCTGGATCTGCTCCTGCTATGGAGATGGGATATGGCTGCATATGTTTTCCTTCATAAGAGAATATAATTAGTCTCTCAAACATAATTTAGGCAGTAGCTTATTTTTTTTTCAGGCTCTGGGTATTCAGCAGTTCCCAGAGAAGTCTAAGGCAGCTTCTAGGTGTTTAATAATTTTGGAAAAATCTATCTGCTTAGTTAGCTGCCTAAAAGTATATTTAATTTAGGAAGCTCCCCTTCCCCTTTCCCTCCTAAATCTTGCAATTAATAAAGGATTAAGGACTTACCTCTATTCAAAGTTTCCTCATTTAAACTAAAGTTGTGATTTTTAAGCCAATTAGATAAATCAAGAAAGCAATCTTAATTTGATTTGAGCTGAATTTATGTCGAGTTAATGTAACTTGGTAAAGAATTGGTTTAAGCAAAATCAATATAAACCTTGTTTAAACTGAAATCAGAGCACCAGAATATTTTGTACTAACTTAACTTAATTCATTTAAAATTGAATTAAGAGTTTAGCTAGAGAAATTTTGCAATTTATAGCCCATTAATTGCATCTGATAAAGTAGTCTGTCAACTATGAAAACTTATGCCTCTCTGAACAAGTTAGTCTATAAAATGTGGAACTGCCCTGCCTTCTTCCATACAAATACTGCTGGGTTTTTTTCAAAGAAAGGTTAGTATAATGTGTACATTGTCAGAAAAGTTACATAGAGTGTAAAAGTAAAACAACACATTTCAAATTAAAGAAAAATGAGTACTATCAAATAGTAAGAGCAAATAAATTTTAAAATGGATATCTTATAATATACTAAGAAAGTGAAACAAATTCTGTGTATACATGTATCTTCCAAATGTTTAAAATTAGAATAAAATAGGGGGGAAAAATGCAATCTAAAAGATGCCAGGCAAAAATGTTGGTTTCACCTCCTCTGGTTGTAAATACAGTTATAGAAATATTTTTTTAAAAATTAAGTAAATGCTATTTTTATTGGGATGTAATAGACTATGAAATAAGAAGATACCATATTTCATGATGTATAAATTGAAGTTTGGAGCCAAAATATTTACCTATAAATTTCCACCTCAATTTATATATATCAACACTTTTGACCCCCACCCAGGACTACCTCAGCTCCAACCCAACCCAACCTTCTTCACCTACTGATAGCGTCCGTGGCCCTGGAGGCCATGGGGCCTGGGCCCAACCTGAGTGCAGCCTATGGTCCTTGCCGTCATCATGGAGACATGACTCAGCTGGGTGCTGAGCTCTGCTACCCCAGCCAAGTGCTGAGCCTGGCACCGGCTGGTGCAACCAGGCTCAGCAGCACTGCTTGCAGAGGATGGGGTCAAGTTCAACAGTTGGCTGTTGCAGCCCCATCCTCTGTGAGTGGTGCTGGGCTTGGCACTCAGCTGGCATGGCCCAGGAAGCACTGCTCACAGGGGATGGGGCCATACCAGCTGAGCCTGGCTCCATCCCCTATGAGGTACACTGCCTGAGCCATGCTAACAGAGCCCATCCCCATCCCCTGTGAGTGGCACATGTCCACCCCAAGGTGCCTGGCGAGGTTGACTTATTCACTGGATATACAAAACTCCTAACTTTCTGGATCAGAAAAATGGGGTTGACATTCACATCGACGCATACACTATGAAATATGGTACTTGCTACTGTCACTTAACCAGACATTAATCTTTGTCCCCTTATTATATGAGAAATGCTTTAGTATTTTCATAACTAAACATTTTCAGATGCACTGTGTGTGAGGGTTGAGTCACAAGTATTGATTACTGAAAACAGTATACAAGGTCACATCAGTTTGACTGACAATGCATTCAAAGATTTTTACATTAGTATGGATGAAGAGTAGTTGAATAGTCTGAATCCATCCCAATGCCCAAAGACCTTAACAGAATTTTTTACAGAGGCTTAAGTGAGCTAGAAGCTATACCCCATGAAATATATTCCCCCAGGGCTATCCCTCTCCCCCTGCATGTTACATTGAGAGATTGCCATTTTAAAAAGAAAAAAAAGTATACATTCTGAAATATTTAAGTATGTGATATATAAAGGAACCTACAGAAAAATAATGGCTTACAGCCACTGTAAAACTCATTTTCTGTATTCTTCAAAATGTTAATAAAAATATAACCAAAGAGAACAAACAAAACCATTTAACAATCAGCCATCAGAACATGAATGAGCCCAAACCAATTTGCACATCTGCTTAGCCATATATCCAAATCTTAATATGTAGCAAAATTGTAAACTATCAAATTCCCATAAGCATCTTCAGGCACAACATAAACAACACATGACCATATATAGACACTGTCAGAAATGTATAAACTGCAATTTAGCCTGTCAGACCCAAGACTTGCAACACCTCATAATATTGGTCCCAAATTATTAATTTTGTAAAATTTTCTGAAACTGTAGCACATCCCACTGCAACTTTAATCCAGTCTTTTGCCTCTCAAGTTCTTTCCACAAGACCTTTGCTGCCAGGTGCTATTGTTTATAATAATGTAGTGATAGATAATAATCAGGGATCCTGGTTTTCTCTGATTTAAAAAAATCCCCAGTTTTTGGATTTAAAAAAGTAACCCAAAATCTACATTTTCCCATGAGTAAACTTAGTGGCATTTCATTTTAATCATGGAAAAATGTGGATTTGGGATTAATTTTATACATCCAAAAATTGAGGATTTTTTTTTTGCCAGAGAAAACAAGGATTCCTGATAATAGGTTCCACTTAGATGCGTTAAAAATGCCTTCCACTCCTAAGCTATCAACAGGGCAAAAAGGTGGATGAATATTATAACCAAGATTGTGAATGAAGGAGGCTATTGTCTAATGGACCTCTGACTCATTTGCTGTAGAGTCTGTAAGGTGTTTGGTTAATGAAGCAGGAACTGCAGGGAGAGAAAAGATATTCTCATAATTAAGTTACACACTAGTCTGAAGAACTGAATTCTTCTCTTTCCAGTATCAGAATTATGGTGATGCTGAAAAAGTCATGTAGACTAAAATTTTCACAAATTTTGTACATATGTTTATATCCATGTTTCTTTTCCTTGTGATAAGTTAACATAAATAAATTAGTATACAGTTAAATCCCCTGACTGTCCTGGCCTGGTTTTATAGGGATGGAGGGAAACTTTAAGGAATCTGCAGTTCCCCCTCAGCACATCTGCCAGCTAACAGTTCCCTTCAATTGGAGAAGGTAAGTACATACCAGAGTACACCTGGGCTACATTGGCATGACAACATTTCATAGAAGCAAGACGTTGGCTGTTGTGCTAGTCTGTGTTGTATCTGGGTTGATAGTAGTCTTAAGTAGAGTTTAGATTATGGTTTCTATAGGATGATTTGGAAAGGGATAATCCTGCCTCAGGCCAGGGGCTGAACTAGATGACCTCTGAAGGTCCCTTTCAGCCCTTTGTGATTATATGACTCTAATGGTGCCACAATCTCAACCAAGCAGCAGCTCACTTAGTGGCAAAACAACTTGCCCTTGAAGAAGAGCAGAGACAGGAGGAAAGAAAAGGAAAGGAATCCCAGGATACAGCCTACTCTGCCCTGCAGAAAGACCTGCAACATCTTTGAACAGATCTGGTACTGAAAGATTGGACTCTTAAGTAATCTCAAGATCATCATGTTCAAATTGATTACTACCGCTAATGACATTGGTACCACTCTGACTTCATAGCTACTGTCAAAATAAGCCTGATGCATCTACTCCTTCTCCTCACACTCTGACCTGGAAATGCAATGCTGAACATACCAGAAAGCATGCCTGTAAAATCTCATGCCTCTCTGAAGGCATGAGTCTCTACAGTGCCATCCTGCCCTACATTCTGCTTGAGCTACTGAAGTGAACCAGATACTCTCAGTTCTCAAGGCTGGTGCTGCAGCAGACTGCAGAAATTGCAGAGAAAGTCCTTCTCATCTTCTGCAATCACTACAGCTAGCAAAATGCA